GGCCCCGGTGACCCTAGTCCGGGCGAGGGAAACGGGACTTTGGTTTTAAACTTTTTCATGGGGTTCTATTAGAAGGTAAATCAATTAAAAGCTAACTAATGCTTACTAAAGGGGTTTTGCTTAGGACAAGTAGCGATAATAAATTAAGCTAATATGCCTACACATTACTTACAATTACCTCTAAATAATTCACAATTAAAAGTTCTGCATATATTACTTTAAAATGAAATAAAATATTAATGTACCGTGAATTTTCTCAATATTGCTTGTATCCAACTAACCCTGAGGGTCTGCTCTCCTCCAAGGTCACTGAGCGGTTAGTCTAAAATCACGCCTTTTTATGGATTTACAGTAACGTACTTTGGCCGCTTACAAAAATCCCAGCATGCGATGTGATTTCCAGTAAAATTACAGCAAAGTAACAGTAGAGCACAATATTGTAAAATTTTATTGTAATATTACAGCAATTTTTAACTGTGTGGTCTGTCAACAATTGAACTGCACAACTATTTTTGATGCATCTCAATACTGGTATTTACTTTTTATGCAACTGGGAATGGGACTACTTCCAACAAAATACTTTCCCAGTGGTAGGTGCCTGAAAACGAGTATGTCTTCGTGGCCTAGTGGTTAGGATGCTTGCCTCTGAACCAAGAGGCTCTAGGTTTGAGTCCCACCTATACTAGCATTGGCTCTCCAAACAAGACCCTTATTTCCAAATTGAAAATGGAGGTTGTTCTAGATGTAAGTATCTGCTAAAAGTAAAGGGTGTGTCCACTTCAAGAACACAGTACCCAGACAGCCATAGATGTTTTTTTTCTCAAATTCAAAATCCTTGAAGACATTGGACTTTTGTTGTTTTTAAACATATTTGAAGCCTGATCAGGGACTGTATGCAGTTCCTGTCGAAAAGTAGCTCTTTTGAGGTTAACATAGGTGAGGTTCAGAAACTGGTAATGGGCCACAATAGGCTCAGATCTCAAACAGAGTCTGGCCACTTGTGGCTAACATAAGGCCCTGCTCTTGTCCAGATGTTAACCTGATGCTGCAACCAAGAGCGGTCCACTCAATCGCCATCATTCCATGCCCTATGTGGGCCAGATGAAAATGTGTGATTTGGGCCACATCCGGGCCAGAAAGATTTTGTTATCTGGGAAGAAACTCAGCTACAATTCTGTGAGGCTGGCGAGGTTTTTACAGCCTTTATTTTCACATGCTTCGTGTGTTTGGAGCAAAAAGATATGTACCAAAAACCTAACCAGAAGATAAATTTGAGATCAATGAAATCAAACAGAAAACAAGCAAAAAAAAAAAAAAAAGCACAAATCGAATTGCAACAAATAATCTTTATTTTGCAAATATAATTTGGATATACACTGCAAATAAAATCAACACAAATCATTTAGAAAATAAAAATAATAACAGAAACACTGTAACTGAAATCAACTGAAGTTATCATTACTTAGAAAATGAAAATCATTGTTAAATACAATCATATTTGCTTAGACGTATTCCTTGGATAGTCTTCCGGGGTCAGAAAGAGAAATGATGTAAGTTCATTAAGTGAAACTGATATATATTTGTTAGCAAATAGCCGATATGGGTATTGGAAAGTCTCAATTACAGGAGAGGATGGATTCTGGCCAATGGAAATGCAGCACGCAGGTGATGGGCGTGTGTCTGGGGAACGGCAGCTTCGTCCCCTCTGCTCACTGCGGCTGCAACAGCAGCTCTCCGCCCTCGTCGGAGGGCTTGTTTCCTTCAGCTTTACCCCTCCCCTCCGAAGCCGGACACCACCCAGGCTCACCGTTCTCCGAATGACCAAAAAGCTAAATCCACCCCGTAAACAATACGGCATGTACTGCGTTTATTGAAACAGATTGCTAACAGGAGACGTTAAATGCACAAAGGCAAACCTGAGGAGAATGCATTTACATATTTATGAAACTGAATATAACAAAATAGCGCGTTTGTATATACATACATAATATATGCGTATTTACGGCGAGTGAAATAATATGAAAGTTTTCCTTTTCTTCAGTCACAAAAAAATCCTAATCTAAACTACGAATCGAATTCACACGTAAAAATGGTAACTTTTTCCCAAATGGGGAGGGTGGGGGCACACTGGTACACACCTGCACCTCCGTGTCCTCCCCCCAAGACAATATTTTTTTTCATACGCAAATCCTTATTGTGAATGGAAGGTTTTCGCCTCTTAAACAAAGTGACATTTCGCACGCGCAGAAACTATTGTAAAATCACACGAAAAGATTACTTACTAGCATCACAATGTATCATATGCATATGCAACCAAAGCAGGAAAAACACGGTAACATATCAAGTGAAATGTACTCTCTCTCTGTCTCTCTCTCTCTCTCTCTCTCTCTCTCTATATATATATATATATATATATATATATATATATATACACACACAAACACACACACACACATAGCAGTTCAAAGTAGAACTGTGCAGATAGCTATAAAAGCATGTGTGTAATTGCAATGAAAGAAAACTCTAAATATTGACATATTTTTTTTTCACTCTACATTGGAAATGAAAAGCTTTACCAGCATAAGAGGTACTGAGCTCAACCTGTGTCCAGCACAATGCCCAGAAACACCGCAGAGGCAGGCAGCACAAAGTGTCCCTTCATTTCGGAGTCTCTTCTCGGCCCTGAACTTCCGGCGAAAGCCACAGGACAGAGTCGTTGACGGGACGGCGGCGGTTGGGCAGGTTGGGATGGGAACGGCGGGTGACAGTAGGGGTGGATCAGACGTAGTCTTTCTTGTCATACCCGCTCCTGGCCGTGGAGCGCGGAGCAGAGTACGCCATCCTGGAGCCGTTGTATTTCTTCTCCTTGGGAGGACAGGAGCAGCAGAGCATGGCCCCGCCGAAGACCAAGAGGGCAGCCGCTCCCCAGCCGAGGTAGAGGGAGGCGCCGATCTCCCGCCGCTGGGCGTCTGTCAGCAGCGGGTTATAGAAGTCCTGCACGATGGTGTTGGCCGACCAGGACACAGGGATGAGCTGCATGATCCCGGAGGTGATGAACATGACGCCGGCGATGATCATGACTTTGGCCTTGGACGCCTCATCCTCAATGCAGTTGGTGCACTTGGCGCCAACGATGGCGATGAGCACGGCAAGGACGGAGAGGATGATGGAGATGACGGTGAGGGCGCGGGCGGCCTGCAGGTCCTGGGGCAGGGCGAGCATGGAGTCGTAGATCTTGCACTGCATCTGCCCCGTGCTCTGGGTCACGCAATTCATCCACAGACCTTCCCAGATGACCTGCGCTGTCACGATGTTGGCCCCGATAAACGCGGTCACTCTCCACATGGGCAGGGCGCAGGCTATGATGGCAATTATCCAGCCCACAACTCCCAGGGCGATGCCCACTATCTCCAACCCTAAAGACATGGCCTTTAGTAGCCCTAGCCAACACTCTGCTTGAAGGTCTGACTGACTTGTCTCCTGGTCCCTCTGATCCAAGTCCTTCCTAGTGAGATGATTTGCTGTGTAATTGCGGAACAAGTAGCCTTTATTCCACAGGGCAGGTGGAGGGAGGAGTTCCTTTGTAGGACGACATCATGCAGGGGAGGGGCCAGGCAGCCCAAGAAAGCCTGTATCCCCTATCTCCCATGTACACACCTATGGGCCCGATTCCCCTGGGAGGTGGAGCTACTGTTAGTTCCTGCTGGGATATATCAATGGCAACCCTTTGATGCTCAGATACACTTTAGGACTGCAGGGTAAAAAATAAATGAAAGTTCTCTTTTGTGGGAGGAACCATGGACTGAAGAAAGCTGAAGGAATCTTTAGACATGATGTGGTCTGATGTTTGAGCTATGGGTCAACACAGGCATTAAGGGGGTTTTCTTTTACAGAGAACAAAGTGTCATTCTTCACTTCAGAGAAGTTTGTTTTGTGAAGCATAATGAGGAAAGATTCATTTTTATGGAAATACTGTTCGCAGATGAAGTAAGCAGTGCTTTCAGAGCAGGTGTTTGGCCGTGCTCTCCTAGGAACTGTGCACACACACTGGTGTGTTTTTCCTGTTAGGGAGCTGGCCAAGCTGTAGTTGGAGCGTGAGGGGTGCGGATATACCAATAAACAAACCATCATAGCTCACATTTTCGCTCGAAAATCCACATGACTGACGGTACCAATAGCAATGCGATGTATTTTACACTGTTTGTTCTGTTTTCCTTAAAAGAAAAAAGATCAGAATAACAATATGATTATATCAATAGCAACGTGACATGTTTACATTGTTTGCTCTGTTTTTCTTAAAATGAAAAAAACATAATAATAATAATAATAATCCTTATTTATACAGCACTTTTATATATAAAATGCAGCCCAAAGTGCTCTACACTGAGAATAACAGTAGAGAAAAAAAGAGACAAGCAACTAAACAGAGTAAGCAATTAGAGAGTAAATGAGTGACTAGTAGACCAGGGGCCTGTACTACGAAGCAGGGTTACTGGCTTATCGGGGTAACTTCTCAGATTTAAGGTAGTCTGGGCAAAATGTAAGTGAACGAATATGAAGTCCATTTAAACTGTGGTACCTTAAATCCGACAAGTTACCCCGATACGCCAGTAACCCTGCTTCGTAGTACAGGCCACAATACACAATCCAACTACCATTCATAATACCCAGTTTTCATTCAATGCAGTAGTCCAGGACTCAAATTCAGTACCCAGTACCGAGTCCCCAGTCCCCATTCCCAGTCCTTCCACAGGCCCATTTGACCTTTGACCTGACAGGAAAAATAAAACATAAGCGGGTATTTGTTGCAGGTGGGGGTTGACACAAGCTTCGCTTGAGTTCTTTGAGGTCACAGCATTAGCAGAAAGTGGACAGGTTATTCCGGCCAGGCCCTAAAGTGAGCTACGGTAATAAACATTTGTTTGGCAAAGCGTGCTGCATGGAGATGGCCTCCCTCTCGCCCTTTATGCCAGTGATTGTCCCATCTGTGTTGAAAGGTTATTTTTCTGTTCAGTCCCACCATCAGAGATCATGTTATTACTGAGGTACTGAGGAAAGCTGGAGTACCTAATCACCAAACCCTTTCGCCCCGAAACGCGGCCTCTTCTCTTCCTGCTGGCCTGCGAGTGACACCCACCAGACCGGCGAGCACGAAGGAACGTGTAGACACATCATCTCTGTTACCCATCGCAGAAATTGAAGGACATTTTACTGACTTTCCGCATACGTCCAACGTGCAAAGCGTTGTGGTTTTCAAGTGTTGTGTCAGTGTCTGGGCTGGGTGTTGGGTGTTGGGTGTAGCCCCCCTCCCCCCTCTGCCCCCACCATCCCCTAAGCAGACGCTACAGTTTCCCAGATATGCGTAATCGCATTATTCTTTGCATATTCAAACACGAAAACGCAGAAGCGGCCCAACAAGTTTCTGCTCACAAATGGAAGATCACTGGTGCAGCGATCGCAGCGGGAGATAGGAGCCGACGGCCCGTGAGAGTCACTTCCGTGCAGCTGCATGAAAGGGAATCTTCATTATGTTTAAATTGGAGCAAGTGTCCCCTTCACGCTTTTGTCCTGATGATGGGCTGTGCTGCATTCTTCAAACTTTCTTGCCCTGTAATGCACTAAAATATTTACTTATAGACCTTCTGCAAGGTGATCTTCATTTACACAATAATACACATTTACTCAAGAATCTTTCACTGGTTGTTGTTCCATTTTCTTGCTTTTCTATCCCTCCTCTTTGTTTTAACAAGGTCACTTCTGAAGGTCTGAATTTACAGGAACGCCAAGTCTTTGCACTGAAGCCTGAACCCAGTGTGCCTGGTGAAAACACATAAACCCACATGCTGTTTCCATTTCTCTTTTCGGGGAGAGCAGGACCTGCAGAGTGCGTGCGCCCTGTGGCCGTCTAAAGTCAAATAAGACTGGGCTTTGGGAATCACAGACGTGCTTCCCAAAGGTATTTGTAATGCATGACTTAAAGTGAAGTGCATTCTGTTTGTCCTAAAGAATCACTCCGGGCTGGCCGATACACAGAAGCACCATACCAGGAGGAAAGGGGACATTATTGGTGTGTAGGGGTGAAGATTAACTTAAGTTTCAGCAGAAGAGGAAAAGTCCACACACCCTATAGTGTGGATATAGCTTGTGTGGGGGGGAGGGGCTCAGAGAGTCAAGCCTGGATGCACGTTCTGGGCTGAAGAACAACACAAACTAATGGGCTGGAGATTAAGCAGAGGACAGGTGAATGCCCCCCCCCGGCCATCATACACCATCACACTAAGTACAGCTTAAAATCAAATAAGAACAAAAGAACTCAATTATATGACCACTACTGCTCTCAGCGTATATATTACGCTGGTAAAACATCCTAGATATGATGGACTGAGGTAAATTTTGTTTTAAGGCTTAACATTTTGAACTGTGAAAACTAAAAAAAAAACTACGTAGTTTGTTTAACAAGTCTCAGCCCAAACTGATGAATTGTCTGAATATAATATATTGTGCATATAGTATTTGATAAGATATCAGAGTGTAAATGTTTGCATTTTCACTGTATAAACACCATATCAAAGTCTGGATTTTATGTTATGAATACTTCTCCTTTACTCCATCTCTGCAAAGCTAATGTCCACCATCCCAGTCCTTCCAGTAATGAAATGATGATACTTTATTGATCCCCATGGGGAAACTCTCTTTTTGCCTACCCCACCTTGCTCTCTATGACACACAGACACGTACATAGGTGAGAGCAAGCTTGGCAGTGAAGGACCGACGCCTGCAGCATCCCCCATAGAGCTGGGGGTTAAGGGTCTCACTCAAGGGCCCACAAATGTGACTATTCTGCCAAGACTGGGGCCTTCCAATCACAGGCACAGACGCTTGGCCTGCTGAGCCACACGCTGCCCCCAAATATGGAATGCTTCACATCCTTGTGCAAGGGAAATGCCGATAGTCCTTGTATTGTTCCAGTTTTAGTGTATGTGCTGTCACAGCAAGCATATACACACAAAACGCAAAACATGATGCAGCCCCTTGCGAGATGTGGCCAGACCTACCTCTGAATGTGCCTGCCGGCATAATGATCTACGATTGGGATCCCATTTGTGTTTGTGGATGTACATGGGTCTTGTGAATTAAGTGTGTGGTGTAACACTAAACAGATCTGGCTTATATGTTGGATCAAGATTTAATCCAGAAATAAGTAAAGAGTTACACCACTTAATTATGACTGAAACTACCAACACGATTACATTTATGAGTTGAAATATAAAAGGCATATAGTTCTAGTATATCACCCAACCTTAACCATTGAAGTCTTACTTTAGTATAGAAATGTAATATTTGCTGGTTCACCATTGTTTAAATGCACCTCTGTCATAAAAGGGACCAGCTAAGCCTGTTCTCTTGTCATGGTCAGCTGGTTTCCATTTTCCCTGAAAAGACACATCCATCTGCCTCATTGTTGATTTTGCTGCATAGTGCTTGGAGGGAAGTAGAGACACTTGGCAAATGTGTGCTAAAAATAAGATGAGAATCTGATAAAATAATGGCATAAATGCAATGCTGGTATGTAACTGTCAAAAAATAGCTAAAAAAAACAGACACGGATATGAAATCACCAAAGTATGCCCGGTAGGCTCCACCCCCTCAGTGTCACTGTAACCTGATCTGTGATTGGTGTTGCCGGGCCATTGTCCCTGCTACTCCGCCCACATCTGCTGCCCAGGATGTAGCCAACCACCTGATCCTTAACCAGCCCACCCATCCTGCCCCACCCACATAACAAACATTGTCATGGTGCTTAAACCTCTTGTCGTGTGAGTTCTGTAACTGGTCTTGTATGAAGTGTCCATACATGCACAGTGGGTAATTTTGAAGGCCCTTATCTTGTATGTGTGAACGCATTATCACGAAACAGCCTCTTATAACAGTCCAACATGGCCGGTCACGCGACAAAACCAATAATCAGCCGATAAGATAAGGACTTGGTAAGTGTTTGAGAAGTGAGGCTTTCTGTCCCACACGCTTGTTATTGACACATTCATCCTTCTCTCGGCATTCGGCTCTGAGGACGGGCTTTTCCACACCTCGCAGCACGACCTTTCAGACGGAAAGCGGTGGGGTCAGACATAGCACCCAGCACAACACGAAGCACTGGTGAGAAAAACAGGCAGCATTTTTGACTAATCAGAAGGAAGAGAGACAGCTTCCTTAGATCTGAGACTCCAGCACCCAGAGGTGTCGCTTAATTACCTTATAGGCATTTTCCTCACATACCTGAAACTAAACTGAAGAGTTTCCAGTTCAAATACCAGCTGGGAAACTGCTAATGTAACCTTCAGCGATCGCCTTAATGTAAAGTCCTTCAGTTACTTATTAGGGCTTGAACTGACAGCAAGAACAACATGGCTATTTGGTTCCCATGCTTATAACCATTTAGGAACTTTATTGCAGCGGTCATACATGTCAACCTGTAAACTTGTAAATCACATTAGTTGAAAGCAACCATGTATACAGTGTCACTGTTTACAGCAGTAATT